GTCCAACATTTAAAGAATGATATAACTAATTCTTGACTTTTTGAAAATAAATTCATACACTCCCGGTAGTCTCCTGCACCATGATTTCTCAAGGTGGAGAAGGCTATGGGCGTAGCCAGAAGGAAGAAAGAGGTTAGAGTTTATCAGAATTTGTGTGTGGATGGGAGGGGGGGGCGGTGTCATTTAAAAAGAGCCACTTGGTGCTCCCTCCATCCTGAAGAGGATTTAGCTTTTATTAAAATAACAGTGGAGACTTCATACCTTGGGATGGGGATGCTTTGTGGGGAGGAGGCCAAATGGGGGTCAGCCAGAAATCTCCATGTATGAAAAAATGAATGTGTGGCTTTGTTCTTAAAAATCCTGTAGCTGCTTTACTAGCAATAATGTTATTTCAATGATCTTCTGTTTTCTAAACTATTTAGATTTTATTTATGCTAGTGTGCAGAGTAATGTCCTGTTAATCGGAGATGTATGTGTTTGACATAGTAAACTTGTCATTTTGGAGAAAATACACCTTTTTTTTTTTTTCCTGCCAGCCCCAGATAAGCCCAGCCATCAAGGAAAGACCCCAAGTTGGAAGTATTCTATGCTGTGAGGATGTGTTTCGTGTTGACAGAATTAATTCACTAGAAAAGCCTTTCATTTGCTTGGTATCAGCAGTAGACTATCCAGAGGAACAGATTTCCTTTCCACCTATATATTTCCTTTATCCTGTCATCAGGGCAGAAGTAAGAATTTGGCTAATTTCTCATCCCAGAATGCTACCAGGGCCCCAGCACCACCAGGGGACCCAGCTGGTTTGCTAAGTGTTAATGACGTTTAATTACTTCCTGCTTTGCCTCCTCAGGGATTTTTCCTTTACATATAGGCCTTTAGGGCCTGAGCCCAAAGGAATGTGATAGATGATGGAACTTAATTTGGTCCCTTTAGGGAGGAGGGCCCTTCAACAATACAGAGCAAAGTCCTCCAGTTAGGGCAAGCCTGATCAAGTTAATCATTATGCTTTTTAACTGCAAACTACATGGAGAAATAGTTCTCTTCTGCCACGGCACTCTTTATAATAGACTTTATTTTTTAGAGCAGTTTAGGTTCACAGCAAAAGTGAGTGAAAAGCACAGAGACCGTCCATATGCTCACTACCCAGCCCACGCAGAGCCTCCTGCATTGTCAACACGCCCCCCAGGGTGGGACATTTGTTACAACTGATGAACCTACATTGACACGTCCTAATCACCCAAAGTCCATAGTTTCCATTAGCATTCTTGTTGTACATTCTGTGGCTTTGAACAATTGTACAATGACGTGTATCCACCATTATATAGTACCAAACAGAATAGTTTTATTGCCCCAAGGATCCCTCCCTCTCCCTAACCCCTGGCAACTGCTGATCTTTTTATGGTCTCCATAGTTTTGCCTTTTCCAAAATGGCATATAGATGGAATCATATAGTGTGTAGCCTTTTCAGATTGGCTTCTTTTGCTCAGTAATATGCATTTAAGTTTTCCTGTATGTCTTTTCAAGGCTTGAACTCTCACTTTTTTAGTACGGAGAAGGCAGCCATCTATAACCCAGGAAGCAGGCCCTCGGCAGACACTGTATCGGACAGCACCTTGATTTTTGATTCCCCATCCTCCAGAGCTGTGAGGAATAAATTTCTGTTGTTAACTAGCCTCCCAATCTATGCCACCCAAGCTGGCTGAGACAACCACTTTTTGAGATGTGATTGACATACAATAACCTGCATATATTTAACAGCTTTATTGAGGTGTAATTCACATACTGTGCAATGCATTCATCGAAAGTGTACAATTGAGTAATTTGTAGTGTATTTGCAATGCTTACATATACTTAATATGTACAACTCAGCCCATTTTGACACTGGGACATGCCCCTGAAACCATCACCATAGTAAAGATAAATTTGCACCACTCCACCACTCCCATTTGTAATGTCCTCCCCTCCTCCCTGGCAACCACTGATCTCCTTTCTGCCCTATGAAGTCATTTGCATTTTCAAGGATTTTATGTAAGTGAAATTAGTATGTACAGTTATTTTTGGTCTTGGTCTGGCTTCTTCATTCAGCATAATTATTTTAAGATACATTCATGCTATAGTATGGTAGCAATAGTTTATTTTAGTTGTTGTTGCTGAGAAGTATTCAGTTGTATGATTATACCACAATTTGCCTGTCTACTCACCTGTTGACAGAAATTGGGTTGTTAACAATTTGGGGCGATTACAAAGATGCCGCCATGAACATCCATGTGCAAATTTTTGTGTGACCTGTGCTTTCATTTTTCACGGGTAAATACCTAGGAGTGGCATGGCTGTATCATTGGGAAAGTATATGTTTCTCATTTTAAGAAACTGTAGAAACTGTTTTTCCATAGTGTTTGCAACATTTTGCACGTACTCCAGTGGTGTCTAAGAGTTCTAGGTGCTCTCCCGACTCCCCAACACTGTGCCTGGTCAGTCCCTTTACTCTTAGGCATTCTAGTAGATGAAAAGTGGTCCTACCCTCCTAGGAGTGCCTGCTACATTCCTAGCATCATTTCTCCGTTTTTGCTCATGCTGTTCTTGCCACCCGGATACCTCCCTAGCCAACCCTCATCTTAGTTAAACAGTTTTCCTTTAATGCGAGCCCCAGTGCTCTCTGCCCCCCAGGTTGAACCAAATTCTGACTCTTCATATATATATATATATATATATATATATACCCATAGAAGTCTGTGAATAATTTTTTTCGAAGCATATTTGCATTATGATGAGGTTCTCTGTTTGTGTGACTGTTTTCCCCACTCAAGGATGGGGAGCTAAAGCAAGGCTTGGCACATCATAGGTTTGCTATCATAAATGCAATGGCAGAGACAGGACTCGCCACCCTATGAATGGTACTCTTCCTGTATGACTTGAAAAATATAGCTCTATTTTCTCTTCTTTAAAGAGAGCCATCCACACAGTAATTGTTTTTGAAATTTATCCGTCAGAAACAATGTGTAGCTGTGGTAATATTTTTTAAAATGAAATGAACAATTGTCCTAATTCTTAAAAACATCCTTCCAACCTATAAGGTGGGTAAATGGAGTCAAAGATACTCATGAATGTCAAGGAAAGTAAATTTTGTCTGCATGAGGGTCGCCAGTCTGTCTTCACTTTACGATCTTAAGGTTTCCTGTCTCCAAGGATTTTGAAGCAGTTTTGAGTTAGTCATTAAGCCTGTAATATTTTGCTTATGTTGGTGAGTGGGGAAGGGGCAGGGTTAAAAATATATCTCAAGCAGCTTCTGAGACAATCTTGGAAGTCAGTAGTATCTGCAAGTTTTTCAACTCCCCAGATAATAGTCAGTCTGATGTGGTTTCTACAGGTTCACAGGAGGGAGGCAAAAACATGAAAGAGTGAGCTGGTTTCCAGGACAGTGGTTCCTGGTAATAAGGGGATGGTAAAGAGGTTAAGTTTCAAAGTCCGATTAGAAATCGCAGCTATGGAATTCGGAGTGATTGTCACTGAGGCTTTAAAGCCTGTGGATTTGGCCTGCTGTGCACAGACAGTGGTTCTTGGTTTTTAACCCAGAGCAAAGTGGCAGTGGAGCACAAAAACACACGCAGTGCCTTGTGGGGACTACTGAGTATGCTGGGATAATGCTCGGAATTAACCGGCAACTAAATGAGTTAAAAGAAAGCACCAGAATGTGGGAAGCCCTACGGCAATCTGGCTGACCAATCAAAATTATTTTGAAGTCTTCTTCCCATAGTGGCTTTTGTTCCAAGGCAAGGTAACCCCGTCCATCACGAGCTAAATAAAGCCCCAGGAAGATCAATACAGTCATGGTAAGATGAGACATTTTATGATTAAAGCCCATGACAGAGTGACCTGTGCAAGGATACAATGTAAAGCAGGGCTTCTCAAATTCTCAAGTGCACATGACCCACCTGCAAGCCTTGTGAAAATGGGGGTTCCAATTCAGTAGGTCCAGGCTGGGGCCTGGGATTCTACATTTTAAAAGAGCACAGGGGTGGTGCGGGTGCTGCCATCCTGAGACCACACTTTGAGTTGCAAAGGCAGAAACTTAAGTAAATGGGCTGCTCTTCCCTCTTTTATACCAGATTATGAAATTGTCCTGGAAAGCTCTCGGACAGAATCAATAAGTCTGTTGTTAACAGTCTTGCTCATCTCTGGAGGGTATGAAAATCAAATTCTGATTTCCATCTTCTCCTTTAAGAAAAAATGAAGGGGAATGGAAATCTCTTCATTAATGGCACCATGAGTCATTTGAAAAAGAATTCCAGACCTTGAGTTGTCTTTATTTTAGGGCTGAAAACACCATATCATATTTTACTGCTGCCCCTGATTACTGAATGAAGTTAAATTAAATCCAGTATGTTGCCTCCATAAAACAGGAATAACAGCAACGTTCAAAAAATGTTTAAATAGAAGTTGCATAAGAACAGTCACTTTTCTGGTTAAAACTTCAAAACCAGGGCTGTCTGGTTTGAGGATTAGATTATCTCTAGTGCAGGACCATCCTGAGTCTGCATAGATACTATCGTGTGGTGGTTTAAGGCACAGATCCTGAAGCCAAACTCCCTGGACTCAAATCCAGTGAGTCCTACTGCTTACCGACTATATACAATGGTTGGCTCATCTGTAAAATGGGTCTGCACTGTACAGGTGTTACTGGATTCAATGAGTTGATATTTGTAAAGCTCTTAGAACAGTGCTCAGCACCCAGTCGAGCTATATAAATGTTTGTTAAATATATGACTACAATAAATAGAGTAAGTTAATGTCATGTCTTAGTGGCTCTGTAGAATCCAGAGGGCCTGTGTCTCTTTTTACCAATTAAATACCACTCTACAAGGCTTTCCCAATAGGTATCTAGGTTAGAAAGAAAGGTGATATCAGCTAACCAATAGGGCAACCCAAAACAAATTCACAAAATCTGGGAATTTCTTTAATTTTGCTTATTTGAGTAGACTCATCTCAGTCCTTTGGTTTTGCAGCTGGTGATGTATATTGGGCAGGTGGCCAAGGATATCTTGAAGTGGCCCCGCCCCTCCTCCCCTCCCGTGGTGAACCTGGAGAAGAGAGTGCTTACTGAATATGGAATGCCATCGACGCACGCCATGGCGGCCACCGCCATTTCCTTCACGCTGCTCATCTCCACCATGGACAGATACCAGGTAAGGCGGCCTGAGTCCTCTCCCTCCCGTGTCAGGCTCTCCAACACTGAGGCAGTGGAGAGAGGGTCCACTTCTGAATTTCCTTTTAGAGCTGCTTGGAGGAGGGCCTTTGAGGCTTATGACGTAAAGACTACAGGGAGCTGAAACCTACTGAGCCGTGGATGACCTAAGTCAAGGGACCATATAATTTAGCATCCCAGTCAGTTTGTGCCTGAGGATGAAAGTGGACACCATCATCGGGACACCAGCCTGACATGGAGTGTCCAGGAATCGGGGTGTATCGCCTCCCCCATCAGGAAGCATTTGCACCCTCAGCTGCCTGACTAGACAGCACTGGAATCAGTGTTCTCATCCTGTTTGCAACAGACATGAGGAGTTTATGGTCCTCTAGGCTGCGAGGATCCCACCGAGTCCTCGCGCGAGGCTCCCCAGGGCCCGAGACAGAAGAGCCTGTGCCCCAAACTATTCCCCAGGGATGCCTCTGCCTCTGGCTGGGGCTCAACCATTAGAAATAATGGTTCCATGTTTCCTAGAAAACTATGTAAATGACAGAGGGTTAACAAATGTTGAAAATAGAATTTCACTTATTTAATAATATCTGCTTAGAAGCCAGTTATAGTCAGACATTTTAAAAGTTACTACTGCAATGAAGTATTGTTTTGCTTTTCTTAGAACCTTTGCTCTAGGTTTGTGCTTAATTTTATGAATCTTACCTTTGAACTGTTGGAAAATTGAGATTTCGTTAAGCAGTCTTGTTTATAAATGACAGTATTGTTTCTCCCTGCCCCTTCCCCCCTAGAAACCCAGGGACATTCCGAGTTCCACGTTGTGCAGAAATAGGGGAGTCAGCCTGCTATGGCTGGAAGAGGACAAGCTTTGTGTTGGGTCTTGGCTGTACCTGGTCACCTAGGGTTAGACCTCAGTTTCCTAAATAGGAAAGAGACAGGTATAAGGAATATTTCCAACTAAGTATAACCTTGTGTCATAACTGACTTAAGTGTCATGCCAGGATAAAAAAATGACTGAGCACCCCAGTACTGTTGGGATTAATTTAATGTAGACATCTGAGCTATGTCGTGCCCAGTGTCTTTTGCACTGGAAAGAGATAATGGGCCCAGCATCAGCCCCCAGCAAGCTGCTCTCAGCTTCAGAGAGGCCTGTGAACAAGCTGATGTTACTTTGGGAAAAAAACAGCACGTAGCGGCTTCCTGAAGGAAAACAGCTACCACTGCCACTTATGCACTCATTATAAGGCAACCTGGGCCTTCTTAAAAAATTCTTTTCAGCTCCCATGATGCAATCGTTTTCATAAGGCCTGGGCTGTTGTGGTCTTCTTTCTTATTTAATTTTTAATGATCAATATACTTAGCTATTTGGAGCACTGTTCATAAATAGCTCTAAATAAGGATTTGTTTATATAAATATGTGTGGAGCCTAATGCCCAAACTCTAATTTCAGAATATTAACTCATTAATTTTTAACTCTTCTGATTAAAATATGACATCCAATTAATAATAAATATTAAGAAAAGGCATACAGCCATGTGTTATGGAGCTCATGTGTTACATTGGAAAGAATATGCTGGACTTGGTTTCAGAAGGTGTGGCTTCTGGTTCTGACTGGGTCAGTTACCAGCTGTGTGACCTTGGGCAAGTCGTTTTGCCTCTCTGAGCCCCGGGTATGGTTGTGAGGATTTAATGTGATGATTGATGGGAAAGCATCCTTGTGCTGAAGTTCAATACTAATGTAACTTATCATCATGGTTAAGGGTTTCCTCATTTGTAGAATGGGGCTAAATTATGGAACCTACCTCAGAGACTTGTGCAAAGATTAAATGAGATGATGATTATAAAGTGCTTTGCATAATACAGGCAGTTTCCTATCATCTTTATTCTTATCACCATAGAAGACCACAGACATTAGTCCTTGAAGCACGTGGAATACATCACTATGTCTAGTTTATAAGCAGAATATCCGTATGTTTTTTATATGACTCGGCATTAGCCAAATTCCTCCGGCTGCTATTCCACCAGCAAATGTTGAGATTTGGTAAAGTCTGGACTGCAGCCTTGACATCTGTACATGAATATGCCCATTCTTAGCTTAGGCCCATTGTCCCTGGACTTCCGCAGGCCAGGATTTATCAGCACAGCACATGATGAAGTAGGTGATTGATCTTCCAGATGACAGCACTGTCCATCTCCCTTGCTCAGCTGTGTACTTCCTAAGTTTTAATCTCAGAATGGGTAGAAATAAATATTTATTCCACTAAAACTGTCAGCACAATATAGCTATAGATGTAAGTCTTAAAGCCAAGTTCTACTATAGCTTATGTTGTGACACTTCCTCCCAGAACTATATTCCTTGGCCACTTGTCCTTTCTTTCCTTAGTTTCCCCATTTTTCAAATCATCTGAATGCTGGTCTAGGGCATGTGAGGTAGAGACTGGCAGTTACTGGACCAGGAATCCTGTTGCCTTCTATGGCATCGAATTGTGTATGTCTGCGCACAATCTAATGTCCTTGTTTTTTCTTCTCTGCCTGCAGTATCCCTTTGTTCTGGGGCTGGTGATGGCTGTGGTGTTTTCCACATTGGTGTGTCTCAGCAGGCTCTACACTGGGATGCACACAGTCCTGGTAAGACTTCGTGGTTGGGTCTTGGGGTGATTGTCGGAACAGTATAGTAGCTGGTGTGTCAATGTGTTCTTCATACAACGTTTTTATAAAGCTATTTGCATATGTAATTATATTTTCCATCAGGCCAGAGAGTGAAGTAATTATTATTTTATGGCACATTCATAATAATAATAATAATAATAATAATAATGAAGAATCATTAAGATAATACTAAGGAGACTGAACTGAGCTAAACCCTCATGACTTTGAAGATTGGCTAGAATGGTAACAGGGACTTAGGTAATTTATTTTCATGCTGGTTTACTGATGATGAAACAAGCAGTTCAGGAGAACCACCCAGGGTCAAGGGTGCAAGTGACTGGACACAGTTCCCCTCTTAGGTCCTCACAGATGTGGGCCTGATTTTCAGGGGTCTCATCTGCCCTTGCTGGGTAAGGGTCATCCCATGCAGAAGAACCCAGAATCATACTGTTCTGGAGAGGTGGGGTATGGAGAGACACACATCTGCATTTAGAGACCTGTCCACCCTTTTACCATATTAGGAGTTTTTTCCAGGGCTGCCACCGTTAAAATTACCTAGATTATATTTCCTAGTGTACCAGCCAGCTGCCTTGAAGTCCCAGAGCCTAAGGCTGGCCATGGTTCACCACGGGCACTATTTATCATCGTAATTGGTACAAGAATGTCTTTAAAAAGGAATAGGCCCTTGCGAATTGTGTTCCTCTCAATATGAAGCTACAAATTGCATTAGCAAAAGATGCTTAAAGAAATGGCACTCTTGACTGGCCCTCTTCTTCCTACCTGGTGCCTTAGTGTTGGTTATCCTGGGAAAGGCGATGGGGAGCGGGGCGAAGGGCAGAAGCAGCAGAGGTGAACAGATTGAGGGGGAGAGTTTGTCAAAATGGGCAGAGGCACAGAACTGGGAGGAAGTCAACCCAGAGAAAGGGGGTTGCACTAGATCGGAGAGGAACATCCTGCTTTCTTCTTAAAAACACTAATCCTAACTCAAAGGAGAGTGACTGGAGTCAGGGTGAGACTGGAGTCAAGTGAGGTACAATAATGAAAGGGCGCCAAACAACTCAGGAATCGAGATAAATGATTTTATCGCAGCATTTTTAAAAACCAAAATTAATGCAAAAATATATCCACATTTTAAATAAAGAGCAGCTCTGAGCCTGTATAACCCAGCCTCTAATCCTGGCCCCACTCCCAGATCTTAAAAATACTACAGGAGCAATTAGGGGCCAAGTTTACTCTTCTACCTACTAAGGAATGTCCCTGCTGTCCCCATTCCATTGCACAGTGTGTCTAGTGGCTTCTTAGATGAGAGGGGAGAAGGGGAGAAGGGCATTCTCAATTTACTACACCACTGCTTTATATTATAATATAAAGAGGTTCTCTCCAAATACAGCCACAGATTTAAATGTGGAGCGAAGCAGAACTTGGGTGTTGTGGTTTTTCTTTTATCTGGGGCTACTTTTTAATTTCCATAGGTTTTAATAAAAAATGATCTTGGAAACTCAGGTTAAAATTAAAACCAAAGTAAACACAAGGCTGTGGAACGGCAGACATGAATAGAGGGCAGAGAAAACCCACCTCAATAAAAATACAGCGACATGTCTCTTTTCATTTTAAAGCGGGTTATAGGCTTGGAGAACCAGATATTTGTGGGGAAGATCATTTAGGCCTCTCATTCAGATGCAGGGAGCTACTCTTTCTGGAGCAGCTGACCTAGAAGAACCAGAGCAAGGGGTCATAGCAACTATTCCTCCACCCCTTCCTCTTATTCCACGTTCGCCACCTGGGGTTTCTTTTACACATATGATTTTTATTTCGTAAAGATCTTAGACCCTGACTCAGGCCCAGCCCCCAGTCAGGGCCAGAGGCATGGCCTAGGGTACGATGGTACCTAATTTTTAATAGCAGAAGGGAACAGTGGTTTTAATAGTGGGATAGAATTAAATTGTGGCTTGGTAGGCTTGTTTGTTCAGCAGCAATTTAATAAGCTCTGCTGGGTGCCAGGCTTGGAGCTACATCTGGGAAATACTGAGGTAAACAAAACCTACCTCACCCTCCTGAGTCTTCAAGTCTGTTGATGGAGACAGATGTATAAAGTCTGATTGCTGGACATGACAAGCACTATAATTAGCATGGAACAGCTGGATTGGGCCAAGGTGGCATGCCTTTCCCCTGAACCCCTTACAGTCTCCTGGGACTGCCCTGCACTAATGGTTCTCAGCCTTGGCTGCATATTCAAATCCCATGGAAAGTTTTTAAAGAAATATCTGGGGATATTTGGGCATCCCTGTTCATAGCAGCAGAATTATTCCCAATAGCCAAAAGGTGGAAGCAAACCACGTGTCCATTGACAAATGAATGGATAAACAACATGTGGTACATATGTACAATGGAATATTAGTCAGCCTTAAAAAAGAAGGAAATTCTGACACATGCTACAACACAGATGAACCTTGAAGACATTATGCTAACTGAACTAAGCCAGTCACAAACAGACAAATATTATATGATTCCACTTATATGAGGTCCTTATCGCCAAATTAACAGAGACAGAAAGGAGAATCATGGTTACCCAGGGTAGAGGGGAAGGGGGAATGGGAGTTGTTCTTTAATGGGTACAATTTGGGAAGATGAAAAAGTTCTGGAGATTGACAGTGGTGATGGTTGCACAAAAATGTGAGTGTCCTTAATGCCAGTCATTTAGGGGGCTGCCTGTTTTATATAAACGGTTCTCTGTTCATGAAGAGGAAAAGCAATTCATGAAGAACTTATGTCGCCCATTAAGAAATCACTCCTGGGATTTTTCCGATCAAGATGGTGGAGTAGGTAAATGCTGTGCTCACCTCCTCTCAAGACCACATCAATTACAACTAAACTACAGAACAACTATTACTGAGAATTGCCTGAAGTCTAGCTGAACCGAAACCCTCCAACTATGGACATACAGAAGAAGCCACCTCAAGACTGGTAGGAGAGGCAGAGACGTGGAATGGGTCGTCCCACACCCAAGTGTGACCATTAAAAATTGGGATGGATATCTCAGCTGAAGAGGTACCCCCCAGGAGGAGCAAGGGGTCCCAGCCCCACACCAGGCTCCCCAGCCCAGGGTTCCACTGCAGGGGAGAGAAGTCTCCATAACTTCTGGTTGTGAAAAACAGTGGAGATTGTAGCTGAGTGAGACATAGGGCGGCTAGAGTTCCAGGCACCCCTCTTAAATGGACTGTGCACAGACTTACTTGCTGATGGACTCACCTGCTCTGAGCTCCAGTGCTGGAGCAGCAGCTCAAAAGGCTCCAGGGACAGTCAGGTAGGAACTGAATTGCCTAACTTCAGGGTAAGGGCTGGAGTGGGGAGCTTTGTGCTGGAGAGAGGAGCTGGTGGAGGCCATTGTTTCTTTGTTGAGTCCTCCTCTTCCCTGCATGAAGACACAGGCAGATGCCATATCTGAGTCTCCATCATACTGGCTGTCACCTTTCATCTGCCCCACCCTAGTGATTCCCTGAGACCCTGTCTCACCCAACTTCTGGGTACACCCAAGCTGATTCCAGTGGCTTTTTTGTACAAACAACCTGTCTTACCTCAGGCTGCAGACTTTCCTAAAATCTCTCAAAGGCTCACAAAACCCAAATGAGCAGCATCTGGCTTCAGCATGTCCTGCACCTCTGGCTGAGCAGCCCTAAGTCTGGCACTAGTGACAGCCAGCCTCAGCTCATAGATTGGCCTCTCAAGGCACCTCCAAGCTCACTGTGGATGGCAGCCATCTATGGATTGCTTTGTGGCTCATACCAGGTGGCCCCAGGCAAGTCATAGGCTATGACTAAACTTGATCTGTGGTGGGTCCCTCAGGAGGCACCAGAGCTGGCATGTCCAATGGCCTGTTTTGGACCAAGCCAGAGCATCACCCGGTCACCTCCAAGAACAACACACTCAGAGGGCAGACTGGACAGGCACCAGAGCCCCACTAAAGCTCTGTAGGGTCAGCCCTTGTATGACAGCTCCTCCACTGTAGTCATAGCCAGTCCTCATAACCAATCAGCCTGAGGGTCAATCTCTCCTGCTGACATGCAAACAGCAACCAATGCTCAATTACAGCAGGAGGGCACACACAACCCACACAAGGGACACACCTGGAGCACCCGGCTCTGGTGACCAGAGAGACGGCACCACTCAGTCCAACAGGACACCTACTATGTAAGGCCACTCACTCTACTAAGATTGGGAGGCATAGCAGCCCTACATAGAAACAAATACAGGGAGGCAGCCAAAATGGGGAGACAAATATGTTCCAAATAAAAGAACAGAACAAAACTCCAGAAAAAGAACTAAACAAAAATGGAGACAAGCAATCTACCTGACACATAGTTCCAAACACTGGTTATAAAGATGCTCAATGATCTCAGAGAACTTCAACAAAGAGATAGAAAACATAAAAAAAGAACCAGTCAGAAATAAAGAATACAATAACTGAAATGAAGAATACATTAGAAAGAACCAATCATAGATTAGATGAAGCAGAAGATCAGATCAGCAAGTTGGAAGAGAAGGTAGCAGAAAACACCCAATCAGAACAGCAAAATGAAAAAAAAAATCCAAAAAATGAGAATAGTTTAAGGGGCCTCTGGGACAACATCAAGAGTACCAACATTTGCATCATTGGGGTACCAGAAGGAGAAGAGAGACAGCAAGGAATTGAAAACCTAGTTAAAGAAATAATGACGGAAATCTTTCCTAACCTGGCAAAGGAAATAGATATACAAGCCCAGGAAGCACAGAGAGTACCAAACAAGATGAACCCAAAGAGGCCCATGCCAAGACACATCACAATTAAATTGCCAAAGGTTAAAGACAAAGAAAGAATCTTAAAAGCAGCAAGAGAAAAGCAGTTAGTTACCTTCAAGGGAGCTCCCATAATATTGTCTGCTGATTTCTCAACAGAAAAATTGCAGGCCAGAAGGGATTGGCACAAAATAATCAGTCATAAA